GCAAATACTGCAGAGCTGCATAAGCGCATTTGCATTTGCATATGTATTGGTGATGGCATTGTTAGTGCTTATGTTTTTAGTTTGTTAAACAAAATTTTTATACAAAAGTGTTAACAAGCTTATTATGACAGTTACAACCCAAACAGACAAGATACGTTGTACGTGAACATTACTTATGCACTCGATTTGCTCGTTCCTTGTGCAGCATACGACACTGTAGAGCAATGCATGAATGCTCCACGTTAACAGATGTTGACTGCAAGTTCAAAAAACAAAAACATAATACAAAAACTATAAGATCAAATATCCTATGATTATCTTTTGATACTGACATTAGGAGATAATACATAAACATTTACTTTAAGATAACAGCACTCATTAAATTTCACTGTAGCGCAAAAATTTTATTGACACAAATTAGAAATAATGGTTTGGGAAAAAAGTATTAAGCGTGTTTTTCTTAACTTTAATCTGAAGTATCTTAAACAGAAACTTTAAAGAGATTGTCCTCTTATAGCAATTCTTCTTGACATATTGAGAGAAAACCTAATTATATATACATTTTGTCTTTACTTAATAAAGATACAATATGAAATCAACATTACAAATTTATTGTATTAGCTACAGAGACTTTCGGTTTCTTGTGCGACTGTTAATTTGATATATATGAAATATCCTTAATTCTTCTTAACATAACAATATCCACCAAACGTTATTTTTCACAAAAATTTCAACGACAGGAATTCAAAATAATGGTTTGGGAAAAAAGTATTGAGCGTTTTTGTCTTCACTTGTCCCTGTAGTGTTCCAACTCTGAAACGGTAAGCTTTTATAGAAAGTAAGATTAGCTAATTATGCACATCTATTTTTATTTATTAAGATACAACATAAAATTAAATAAAAAAATTTATTCAATATAAGTATAGTTGTAACAAAGGCCTTTGACTTATTTGATCTATGGAACCAATGTTTCTATGTATAAATAAATAAATAAATTGACTTCTATTTGGTTTAACCATAATATGTATTAATATGTATAATATGTATTTAATATAAGTTCCCGTAGATTGAATAAGGAGTATGGGGCTACATTACGCATTGTTTTTATTGGGTTCCGTTTTGCTTAATGCGATTATTTTATTGCTATATCTCAGTTCTTCTTTATATGCGCCCACCGTTTCAATTTGATGTTTTTAAATATATGCTGGGTGGTGTGTTCTTTTAATGTCTTCCGTGTGGATGCAAGACTCAAACTAACATGATGAAAGTTTCACTGTGTAAAGTTAGAATAGAAGTAGGAAGACTCTTGGCTGTACTGACAGGTTACTAATCTGTAGATATTTACTCAAAACAGTCAAGTATTTCTTTTAATCAGAAATACAGGAGCTAAAATAATAAAAGGCAGAAAACACAACTGAACAATTCGAATAGAAAAACTAAGACTAGAAAGGTTATTCATAGTGGAAAATTTAGAATTGATGAGTTCAATGGGTATATCATATATAGCCCAAATTAATCAACGACGGTGACTGGTACTAAAACTTAGAATCTAAAACCATTTTCGAGCGTAGTATGTCACCTATCGGATGTGTGCTAGTTGGATAGAAGTATATCGTCTAGAGTCAACCAACTATCTGTATTAGTATTTTTAGCTTTATTTTTACTTCATTTTAAATTTGTTGTATTACATAGAAATTAATAACAATTATATTATATATACAAAGCTTGCAGCAACGACTTTTTAGCCGTCTGCCGAAGGTAGTAACATAACAAACCATCAACATTTTTATATGCTTATTTAAAATATTAATTTGATAGTGCTCATGCTATAAAGCAACAGTAATTTTGTAGAAAGATATCGTATTTTGGATCATTCTGGACTATTTTGGATCAATTTGGATTATTTTGGACTTGTTTGGATTATTTTAAACTACTTTGGACTATTTTGAATTAGTTTGGATCATTTTAAACTACTTTGGACTATTTTGGCCCATTATGAATCCTTTTTTTGTATAGTTTTGTTAAGACAAGCAATGTTTAATGAAAATAATTGAGTTTTTGGATAGAAATTTTAGGAAATAGAAAACCGTTGTGAGCCAATGCCTTTCCGTTCATTATATGATGTTAAATATTTTTCTCTTCCTGCTTTGATTAAGAAACAACTGTTGAAAATATTAGGCACTAAAGCGGAGATGGCCAATATTTTTTTTTCGTCATTTGGTCAAAAGCTTTAAAAGTAATATTTAAAATTAGTTCCTAATGCATATTCAGTATTTTTAATATATTTAAATTGAAGTTTAATCTATTCAATATTTAAATCATTATAAATCTCGAGTAAATTTTTTGAAATAATTAAACACTGAATAAAATTAATTTAAGAAAAATCCAAATTGACAGCTAACGACACTTGAATCTGCTCTATAATGCAGCAGTTGTCAAATGAAGTATAAAATCACTGAAGAAAAACATAAAAGACTAAAGGAAAAATAGAAAAGAATTGGAAAAAAAGCAAAGAAAGCTGGCAATAAAGAATATCATTGCCCAAAGCTGACAAAAAGCATAAAAAACCATTGACGACAAAGCAAACATTATCAGAGATAAATTAGAAAAAAAAATTTATAAAAAAACTAAATCTATAAGAAAGAAGTGACATGACCCAACGCCACGTTTGGTATCAAAGATATATCTTATTTTCTTAGTCAATTTGGAATGCACTCGGTCCGTCGGTCGGTTGGTGCATCATTTGCATATATGACTGAAATGAACTGTTTTGTGAAATTGTCTAAGTGGAAAAAGCTGAGACAATCAACAGAAATTGTGAAAAAAATAAAAAAAAAATAAAAAAAAATTAAAAAAAAAATAAAAAAGTAATATAAGAAAAGCAATAATAGAAACGTGCTTTGTGTGTGACATTTGCTTTGAAGCAAGTGTCAAATAAAATTGCAGCTACAACAGAAGCGGAGCATGCAGCAAGCAGTAAGCAGTAAGCAGCGTATAGCGTACCGCATATGTTGTGCTTGAGTGTGTGAGTGTATGTATGCGTGCATGCACTGGAGCACTGCAGGTAAACTTGCAGTTCCAGCTTCTTTGACATTTTGTCTTTATTTTCGTGAGCAGGGAAGAGTTGCATTGGCCCTTTTTATCTGAAGCGCTTTGCTTTACATTTCTTTGAATTGGTTCGGCGCTAGTACGGGTAGTCGGTAGTGTAGAAGCTTTTATCAGACAACGTATCAACGTATGCCATGCAAATTAGATACCAAAATGGATATATTTATTTGAAATTTGGTGAGTCAAATGTTTTCAGCTGTTCTATTTTTTATTTTTGTTAGTTTCTGTGTTTTGTTGCTCTAAGGTGCTTAATATGAATATTTCTATTTGATAGTTCAGTTCAGCAGTTGAGATCGGTTCAATTGTGTTTAGATGGCAATGGTTTTCGTTCTCATATGCAAATGTGTGCTCGATTGTTGGATTGTTGGATTGTGTGCACCTATTGTCGAGCACCGAAACTGAAATCAAAAATAAATCTCAATTGTCAATTGAGTATATCTTAG